AACATGATCGACCCACGAACCCGGAAAGGAATATAGAAATGTAACGCATGGCAACGTTTTCAAAGACACCTGATTGGGTGACGGGCAAGTGCAATGATGATTGTATCGATCTTGATGTACCGTGCCGAGGGCTGTGCTGTGCTGCACCGTGCTGAATTGCGATGTGCCATGCCGCGGTTGTGCTCTATAGCGTCGTGGATCGAGTCTTCCTTTGCATCCGAGTCCTGACCGAACTGATCTGGATCTTAAGCTCGAGCTGCCTGAACAAATATTAGCTGCCCCAGAGCTAATTGACAAGGGGGCATGCCAGGAGGACGCGCCGCGAAACGTCCCAAGGGACGCGCCAGGCGGCGTGCCAGGGGACGTGCCATGGGGTCGCACCGCGGGACGTGCCAAGGGGACGCGCTACGGAACGTGCCAATGGATGTGCCACGGGATGTGCCAGGGGACGCGCCACGCGACGTGCCAGCGGGACTCGCCAAGGGACGCCCACGGAACGTGCCAAGGAACGTGCCAAGTTGCAATGCTGAGTGTATCGATTTGTGCTGTGCTGCGCCGTGCTGAATTGCGATGTGCCATGCCGCGATTGTGCTCTCTAGCCTCGTGGATCGAGTCCTCCTTTGCATCCGAGTCCTAACCGAACTGATCTGGATCTTAAGCTCGAGCTGCCTGAACACATAGTAGCTGCCCCAGAGCTAATTGACAAGGGGACATGCCAGGAGGACGCGACGCGGAACGTCTCAAGGGACCCGCCAAGCGACGTGCCAAGGGACGTGCCATGGGGACGCACCGCGGAACGTGCCAAGGGGACGCACTACAGAACGTGCTGGGGACAAGCGTTTCGCTCGAGACATCCTGCCAACATCCTCAGAATTCCTGCGCGCGGGACGCGGCACGCGCGAGACATCCTCGGAATTCTTGCGAGCGGGACGTGAAAATAAGCATTTCGCCTGAGACATCCTTTGAAGTCTGGACCCCCACGAGGCCCCCCACGAGGCACCCGCTCGAGACATCGCCCAATTTTGCAAAACCAGCGTTTCGCTCGAAACGTCTTCAACAAATTATGAAAGACAAGCATTTCGACATCCTGCCAAAATTCAAGGAAATCCGGGCGAAACAAACGAATTAGTCGAGACATCCTCGAAATTCCTGCGCGCAGGACGCGGCAAGCGCGAAACATCATCGGAATTCCTGCGCGCGGGGCGCTTTTCCGCGTCTCGGTCGGCTCTGCAAAACCAGCGTCTCGCTCGAGACATTCTCAACAAATTCTGAAAACAAGCGTTTCGCTCGAGACATCCCCAACTCTGCAAAACCAGCGTTTCACTCGAGACATCCTCAACAAATTCTGAGGAACAAGCGTTTCGCTAGGGACATCCTCAAAAATAATTCCGCCGGCCCTCTTCCCGCATGTAATTTATCGCAGAATAATTCCGCCGGCCCTCTTCCCGTCGATTCCGGGGGCAAACTTCTAAAAGAGAACCCTGGGCCCACGCCCTTTCCGGGAACATGATGGACCCACGAACCCGGAAAGGGATATAGACATGTGGAGCATGGACACGTTTTCACGATACCCAACTGGGCAACACCTCACGAAACATCCCACGAGACACTTCACGAAACATCCCACGAGACACCCACGAAACATTCCACGAGACACCTTCACGAAACATCCCACGAGACACCACGAAACATCCCACGAGACACCTACGAAACATTCCACGAGACACCTCACGAAACATTCCACGAGACACCCCGCGAAACATTCCACGAGACACCCCACGAAACATTCCACGACGACAGGCAACCACTCAACCAAGGCGGTGTGGTCGTGCTGGGGAGTGGTCGTGCTGGGGTGTGGTCGTGCTGGGGGGTGGTCGTGCTGGGGGGTGGTCGTGCTGGGGGGGTGGTCGTGCTGGGGGGTGGTTGTGCTGGGGCGTGGTCGTGCTGGGGCGTGGTCGTGCTGGGGCGTCGTGCTGGGGTCGTGCTGGGGTGTGGTCGTGCTGGGGTGTGGTCGTGCTGGGGTGTGGTCTTGCTGGGGTGGGGTCGTGCTGGGGTGTGGTCGTGCTGGGGTGTGGTCGTGCTGGGGTGTGGTCGTGCTGGGTGTGTGGGTCGTGCTTGGGTGGGGTCGTGCTGGGGTGTGGTCGTTCTGGGGTGTGATCGTGCTGGGGTGTGGTCGTGCTAGGGTGGGGTCGTGCTGGGGTGGGGTCGTGCTGGGGTGTGGTCGTGCTGGGGTGTGGTCGTGCTGGGGTGTGGTCGTGCTGGGGCGTGGTCGTGCTGGGGTGGGGTCGTGCTGGGGTGGGGTCGTGCTGGGGTGTGGTCGTGCTGGGGTGGTCGCACCCTGTGATTTATCGATCGGGTCGTGCTGGGGTGTGGTCGTGCTGGGCTGGGGTGTGGTCGTGCTGGGGTGTGGTCGTGCTGGTGCTGGGGTGTGGTCGTGCTGGGGTGTGGTCGTGCTGGGGCGTGGTCGTGCTGGGCGTGGTCGTGCTGGGGTGTGGTCATGCTGGGGGTGTGGTCGTGCTGAGGTGTCCCGCACCCTGTGATTTATCGATCGGGATTTCAAAAACAAGCGTTTCGCCTGAGACATCCTCAAATTTTAATCCGCCGGCCTCCTTCGACCTCGATATTTATCAGGGAAAGAATCCGCCGGCCTCCTTCAAGTTGGGCACCGGGGACATGTTTACATACTAAAAGAGAACCCTGGGCCTGCGCCTTTTCCGTGAAAAAACGACACAAATATCAACTGTCAGAGGTCCGCGCGGATTGTTTGGATCGGCGCTGGGCCCCCCTGGCGCGCTCCACGCGCTCGACTGAGGTGGGCCCTTAGAAATCCGCGCGGAGGGAGGAGAGAGGAAGGAGGGCGGGAGGGAGACAGAGGAAGGAGGGAGGAGGACGCACACATCCGGCGTCTCAATGTTTTCCTGGGACGTGCACTCGACCTCTCGCCCACTTCCTTGGGGCCGGGTTTTCATCCCGAGTCGTTTTGTTGACGGCCCCGAGGCCTGGTAAGGGCCCCGAGGGGCCGAAAACGATGTCGTCCCGATGTTTTCGAGACGCCGGATGTCTGGGAGGGAGCGCCTGGAAGAGGGAACGCCGAGGGAGGACGAGGGAGCGGGGGCGAGCAGAGAGGACCCAAGCAGGGTCCGATCCCCCGCTGCCCGCGCGCGTGGCCGCACGGCGCGCGCGCGCGCGCACGGCAGCCCGCCCCCCCCCCCTCGTCTCCCGCAGCTCCAGCCAGAGCTCGCCCCGCTCGCACGCGCCGGCCAAGGCAAGGCGCAGGGCCTCGTCCTCGTGCGGGCGGGCCGCGCCGCCGCTCGCCCACCCCACCGCCACCTCCGTACTGTCTCGGGATCCGGTGGGGCGAAATCACTGCGACAGCACGAGACGCGGTCGGGAACTTCGGGAGAGCGTCTCGCCACGGCGGCCCCAGCGACAGGCTGCGCCCTTGGCGAGTGGGAAAGGCGGGAGGCCCGTAAAGGCTCGGGGCGTCGACGCCTTCTGGACCGGGGGCCGGAAGGCGTGTCGCGCAGAAGCGTGGTGGGCCAAAACTAGCGGAGCAACAGGCTATCCAAAGGATCCCGACTGCAGGAAAGGTGTTTCGGCTCGCTAGCCGGGCTGGGCAACGGGGCCGCTCCGAGGCATCAGAGCACCCGGGTACCCACCTGAGCCTCGACCCTCAAAGGCTTGAGCCAGAGTGGCTGAGGACAGGGAAGGGAGGACAAACGGCAGAACCACTCGCAGGAGGGAGTCGCTGTTGGCGGCTCACGCAGGCCTCGAGGCTGGCTGGTCCCTGTGTTCGGGATGGGCGTGGTAGTCGCCCTTCATGCAATGGTGCCTTGGGGGTGGGGGCCTGTCGTGGGGGCGGCACCTGGCTGGCGGCCACCGCTTGGCCGGTATGCTTGAACACCCGTGTGAGTTTCCACTGGGTGGATGACTTGCGGATCGGGGAGCAAACGGGTGAAAGGAGCAGAAGTACGAGGCGGAGGCGGGGGCCGAGGAGGAAGAGGAGAAGAGAAGAGAAGAGAAGAAAAGAGAAGAGAAGAGAAGAGAAGAGAAGAGAAGAGAAGAGAAGAGAAGAGAAGAGAAGAGAAGAGAAGAGAAGAGAAGAGAGAAGAGAAGAGAGAGAGAGAAGAGAAGAGAAGAGAAGAGAAGAGAAGAGAAGAAGAAGAGAAGAGAGAAGAGAAGAGAAGAGAAGAGACGAGAAGAGAAGAGAAGAGAAGAGAAGCGAAGCGAAGCGAAGCGAAGCGGAGAGGAGAGAGAGGAGAGGAGAGAGAGGAGAGGAGAGGAGAGGACAGGAGAGGAGAGGAGAGGAGAGGAGAGGAGAGAAGAGAAGAGAAGAGAGAGAAGAGAAGAGAAGAGAAGAGAAGAGAGAGAGAGAAGAGAAGAGAAGAGAAGAGGAGAGGAGAGGAGAGGAGAGAAGAGAAGAGGAGAGGAGAGGAGAGGAGAGGAGAGAAGAGGAGAGGAGAGGAGAGGAGAGGAGAGAAGAGAGGAAAGAGAAGAGAAGATAAGAGAAGAGGAGAGGAGAGGAGAGGAGAGGGGAGAGGATAAGAGATGAGAAGAGAAGAAAAGAGAAGAGAAGAGAAGAGAAGAGAAGAGAAGAGGAGAGGAGAGGAGAGGACAGAGGAGAAGAGAAGAGAAGAGAAGAGGAGAGAAGATAAAAGAAGAGAAGAGAAGAGAAGAGCAGAGCAGAGAAGAGAAGAGAAGAGAAGAGGAGAGGAGAGGAGAGAGGAGAAGAGAAGAGAAGAAAAGAGAAGAGAAGAGAAGAGAAGAGAAGAGAAGAGAAGAGAAGAACAGCGAGGAAAATAAGCCAAGATGACGAGCGAAAGAGACGAGGAAATGAAAGGAGAAGGAAAGTCAACAGACAAGCAGTTGTGTAGATTATATGTGATATAAAGATGTTGTATTCCACCACATATATACATGTGTATACATATATATACATATGTGTGGACCCCCCAGCACCCATTCATCGTTTTCTGTTATTGTAACGTTGTTCGTCGGTCGTTTTCCGTTCATTCCTCCTCTGTTCCACTTCCTGCTCTCTGCCCCGTTCCCCTACGTCCCCCGTTCCGTCCTCTCTCTCGATTGCCAATTCCCCTGGCGGCTGCTGGCGTTTGGTTTCTTTCAACTCGGCGCAAAGAAGACCAACGCCGGCAGGGACGCCATCCTTCACAAAGCAAGACCCAGGCTGGCAGGGACCTTTTCCGCACGCACGACAGTCACCAAACCTTACGATTTCACTTGGATTATTTCGATTTGTGGGGTGGAAATCATAGAAGCCATACGATTTCACTTGACCTGTTTGGATTTCTGTAATTTCCTGCCCTCCGGCACAATTATCCAAGAAGCCCCCTGGGGTTGCGAATTCCGAATCTCAAAATGAAAAAGACAAGGTTTGCGATGTCATGAGGACCCAAACACTGCGTTTCCATTGCGATTTGGGGGACTTCTGGAATTGGATTCCAGCAACCATACGTTTTTAGCGTGATTGTTTGATGTTCTGGATTTTGACAGTCCGGGCCTGGGTGAATTTTTCGCTGGAAACTAAAGAGTCCCAAATAAACGCGCTGTGTTTTTATTGTTTACGAGTTCTTGCTTTCATTTTCTCAATTTAAAATATTTCTGAACTTTCCACCTGAGAAATCCAAAAAATCAAAATGAAAACAAAAGGTTTGTGACACCAGGGGGCCCAAACCATGCGTTTCCATTGGGATTTGGGTTTCTGACTTATGTATTTAGAAATAATTCCCACATCCTGAATGGGGCTCTTGTTTTCCCAGAACGTCCTCTTCTTCTCCCTTTCGCCGCCCGCCTCCCATATCAATGCCATTTCCACCCCTCCAGAGAGGCCCCGCCTGAGCGAGGAGGGTATCGGAAATACTATTTACATGGTTTCGCGCCCTTCCCACCTCTCCAGGGAGGCCCCGCCTCAGCGAGGAGGGCATCGGAAAACCATATTATTTTCATGGTTTCGTGCCCCTCCCACCCCTCCAGAGAGGCCCCGCCTGAGCGAGGAGGGTATCGGAAAACCATACTATTGACATGGTTTCGTGCCCTTCTCATCTCTCCAGGGAGGCCCCGCCTCAGCGAGGAGGGCATCGGAAAACCATGTATTTTCATGGTTTCGTGGCCCTTCCCACCCCTCCAGGGAGGCCCCGCTTGAGCGAGGAGGGCATCGGAAACCCATACTATTTGCATGGTTTCGCGCCCCTCCCACCCCTCTCATCGGCGCCTTCGCGAGGGGCCCCGCGGCCGGGCCCTCCATCTCCCCCAAGTCCACGTCGTCTGCTTAGACGCACGGCCATTCCACGCCCTTGCCGAATTTGATATTCGACCCATTCGCGCTCGCGTGCTTGGCGCGCGCCGCGCGGGGCGAGTTGCAGACGCCCTCGATTGCCGAATGGCTGCGCGGTAGCTCGCGAGCAGCCTGCCACCGCGCAGAAAAAGACGGATGACTGATCTTCCAGGGTCAAGAAGGATTAGCCCTTTCCCGCGTTGAATCCGGGCTGGACAAGCCAGATGGCGAGTGCACTGCAACGGCGCCCTCGCCCGCCCTTCTACTCTCCGCGGCCCCCCGAGGCCCCGGCGCCCCCCCCCCCCCCTCCCCGCAACGCGGGCACATGGATCCACCCCACTTGGGCACGATCTTCACCTTGCGCAGTTTGTCAATGACAGGCTTCTTGGGGCCGCTGCTGAAGTCCATGACGCAGCTCCCCCGCGCGGCCCCGCCCTTCCGCCCCCTCGAGATGGCGGCGGCGCCACGCCGAATGTCAGGCGCGCGTTTGGGCGGGGTGGCTTTCTTGCCGTCGGCCTTGTTGACGGCGGGGCACTTCGCCTGCATCTTCGCGAGCTTCACGGGCGCCGTCGCGGCCGCCATGCGAGCGCGCGGCGGCGCCGCGGCGGCGCGGGCCCCCCTCCTCTCGGGAAACGAGAAAGTCATCGCGCGCGGGGCGCGCGAGGGGCAGGCCGCGCGCTCTGCCCTGCCAGCCGAACGCTGCCACGAGAAACGCCACGCCCCTTGCCGCGGGAAACGCGAGCGGGCCGCCGAAGGGACGCCCCGCCTCCCCGCCGGCAGTCCTCGCTCTTGTCACAGAGGCCGCCGCAAGCCCGGGGCGGCCAGGAACGGCGCGGCGCGCGACGGTCTCATGTAAAACAATCGCACGAGCGCGCCCCCAAACGCTGCGCGGTCTGCGGCGCGCGACCAATGGCGCAGCAAATCTGCAGGCAGCGCGGCAAACGAACATCTCACCCGGGGCGAAGTGGCGCGCCTGCGCCCGCGGCCGCAAGAATACGCCCACGCCCGAGATGTCCGCGCGCGCGCTGCCCTCGGCCCGCCGCTCGAACTCTCGCTTCGCGGCCGCCCCGCCGCTCGCAAAGCCAGCGCCTGCCCGCAGAATCTCGTCGCTCAGAACGGCCACGCGCTCCAGCTCCAGCGAGAGCCCCCCCCGCCCATCTTCTTCGGCGCTGGCGACGGGCAGCCGAAGTCTATGCGGCGATTGCCTGGCAGGGGGTTCTTCCAGACGCCCTTCTCAATTTTGATGCGCCCGGGCCTCCGCGCCGTCGGCGCGCGCGGCGCGGCCGGCGCAGCTTCGGGGCCCTCGTGGACGTCGAGCCCGCCACCGAGGCCAAAGGCGCCCTCCTCGTCGAACTCGTCGGGGCTGGGCGGCGCCGATGCCGCGGCTGCCCCGCCGCCATCTTCGGGGCTCTCGCCATTGCCAAGGTTGGGCCGCGGCGGGGCCGCGGCTGCCCCAGCGCCGCGCCCGTCGCCGACGCGCGCCGCGGCAGCGGCGCGAGAAGCCGCCATGCGATTCGCCATGATCTCGGCCATCTCCCTCCTCGAGGGGGAGCAGGCGGTCGAACTCTTCGCCATCGCGCCGAACGCTGCCGCCCTGCAAGCACGCCCAAAGCGCCTTGCCCGCATCTGGCCCCCAGCACCCCGAGTACAGCAGGAACGTCTCGACTGTCTTGCCCTGGCCAGCTGGGCGGGAGTAGAGCCAATTCTTCGCGTAGAGCAAGACGCCGCAGCGCTTCACCATGGCCCCGACGATGCCGCTGGAAAAATACTGGTGCACGCGGGTAAGATCACGTCGATCAGGAGCGCCGTCGTCTGCGACCGCGACGGCAAATGCCCGCCGCGCGGGCGTCGGCTCCGCGGCCGCATTACATTCGCCACCCCCAGCGAACCTCGCCCGGCCCCTGCACGGACACCGCCGCGCCCCCACCTGGCGCAGGTCATCGCGTTGATCTGGGCCGCGTCGAAGAATGCCGACGGCGGGCGGGGGGAAACG